ATATATAAAAAGATAAAATGTTGATATATAATAAACATGTTACGCTGTATTTCATTCCCATCAGACCTCCAAATCAAGAGAAGTTTAAAATTGCCAGTCATGTTGATATTACTTTATTTTAGGGAAAAATTCTTCAAAAGAACAGAGAGCATCTAGGAAAAAAGTGAAGAACAAGACTTGGGCAAATAACTTCTGTTCTTTTCAGAAATCTGCCTCTACTGCTAGCATTGACTGAAATTGGATCATCCTGTGCAGAAGGCAGATGTGATAGAAATGGACAACGAAACAAGAAAAATCATCTACCTCATCTTTATGTCTTTCTAATACTAGAATAAACCACATTTTTATTTAGACGAGGAAAAAAGTGCATTAGTCTTGTTCTAAATAAGTGTATGATACAGAAAAGCTATAAAGTCATGCTGTGCATATTTTATTTGCAGAAGCAGTGCCATTTTAGCCAGGAAGACACTGTAAGAACTAACATACTTGTATTGCATAATTTACCGTAGTGGTTTTATGAGCAGTGTGACAGCGGGACTTTGTTTTGTTTTGTTTTGTCCTGAACAGGATGTTCCTGGTACTGCAGTCAGACTGAACTACCCTTTTCTTGTCCTTCTCATCTGAGCTTGACAATTCTTTCTATGACAAATTATTCTAAAGAATGGCTCAACTGCCCATCAGTGTGCCAGCAGACTGTTATCAAGTTAAATAACCAGGAAGTTCATAAATTTACCTGGAAATGTCTTCATCAGCAGTGAGCTCCTGTTCCATCAGTAAAAACACTTGTACCTGAAGATCAAATGTTATATTTTAATATCATTTTTTATGGACTGTGACTCGGGAAAATGCTGTAGGGAGTCCTGAGTAACAAGCCTTAGAGGAACTGTTTGGAGCTTTATTTCCATTCCTGAATGATGAAATAACCCCTTGAACCATGAGTGGACACTGGCACCCTAAAGCTCTTTCATCCCTTATATATAGCCTGAGTAGTACAAGGGCCATAAGCAACTTGCTTTTTTTGTGGCCAGGAAAGCTCTCAGAGGCTAATCCCCTCCACTACTTAGAAAGAGAGCAAGACCTAAAGGAAATGAGAATAAAGAATCATGTAATAGAGCAGTCAAATTCAGGTGCGAATTCACAGAAGCAACACAGTCCTGTCCACTGACAGTTACTTGTGTAAAGGCCAGGGGACAGCATGGGAATCAGAGGACCACACCGAGTAGAATGAGTTTTCTAATATTTATACTATTAACAGGCTCAAAATTAAATGCATCTATTGCTAAAACAATGCACTTGATCTTTAAATTACTTTATATAGCTTTTCTCCTTCTATTGCTTAGATCTGTCATTAACTGAGGGCTAGGTTATGCACCTTCAGATAGGAAAAAAAAAAATCACAACAATGATTCTGATTTTCTATCTGTGTTAGCGAGCCCCTTGGGAACTCCTTGGCTAACAGGCTAAATGGACCACAGGATGCACCAACCACTCTCCTCCATTCCCACTGCCAAAGCTGAAACCCAAAAGAGTGCATCAAACAGCCAATGCTGGAGACTCCACAGGTAGCAGCTCTGAAAACAGATGTTTATCCTATCTTGTTATGCAGAATAAAACAAGAGAAAGAAGAAAGCCGAGTCAAGCCTTGAGTAAATCTAGTTACAAGATTTCAGCCACAATGTGATCTGAATGACCATCAACTGCCAATACAACATGGACTCTGATTCCTCTGTTATGCGGCTTCTCATCCTCATTGCTGGAGGAATAGGGCTGAAAGACCAGGAAAGTAGAAACAGGGAACACTGAGCAGAGGAGGAGTGGGAATGGTGGAGAGGGTACACATACATAGGCAGAAATTGAAGTAGGAGTCAGCAGGTAACAACGAGGGCAAATGCAAATTTAATTCAGAGACATCTGAACAGCTTAAATAGCATAAGCCAACAGATATTCTATTTGGTTGCAAAAAATAGACATCAGGACTATGAAAATAAGTCAGCTTTCAATTTGTGTCTGTTGTACATTTACACGCACAATATCTAGAAGAGATTTTCTTAAACGTGTTGAGGAAGAATGAGGTCGTGTCTCAAATTTACACCAGTCTTCCAAATCGTGAATGCTAACTGCAACTTACCAGTTCAGTGATCATGGTCGGCCAAAGTGAAGTAAGGTGCTGTGGAGACATTCTTAAAAGCAATACTCTGAAAAACAGGAACACTTGGGAATGAAGGGTGGGCACCTGTGGCAAACGGAGACTTTCTACCAGCCTTTCTGAAACAAAAAGCCAAGAAGGTTTCCTGAGTTCAGAATAATTCCAACCAGCACATTCTCCTTCCCTCAGTTACCCTCAATTTTTAAAGTATCTGCCATGTTACTGTTTCAATACTTTGCTACAGTTTTATTCCATCAACATAAAAATTAACCACTTTCACCAAGCAATGAACAAAAGCGAGAAACCTCAAAACAGTACAGTTTTGATTACATTTTGATTACAGTTCTCCACATAAATGCAATAGTGCATCTGGGAGTTCTGCTCATCTTATGCAGTTTCACCCATTACAAAAGGAGGAGTTAACAGATACCAAACAATACAACAACAGCTCAGAAAGGCAGTATATATTATTATTATGTATTGGGTTTGCATGGCAAGGTTTTGGTAGCACAGGAGTTACAGGGGTGGCTTCTGTGAGAAGCTGCTAGAAGCTTCCCCTATGTCCGATAAAGCCAATGCCAGCTGGCTCCATGATGGACCCGCTGCTGGCCAAGGCTGAGCCCATCAGCGATGGTGGTAGCCCCTCTGGGATAACACATTTAAGAAGGGGGGGGGAGGGGTGGAACTGTGCAAGGGAAACTGCAGCTGGAGAGAGGAGTGTGTGAGAGAAACAACCCTGCAGACACCCAGGTCAGTGAAGAAGGAGGGGGAGGAGATGCTCCAGGCGCCAGAGCAGAGATTCCCCTGCAGCCCCTGGTGCAGCCCATGGTGAGGCAGCTGTGCCCCTGCAGCCCAGGGAGGTCCATGGGGGAGCAGATATCCACCTGCAGCCCGGGGAGGGCCCCACGCCGGAGCAGGTGGATGTGCCCAAAGGAGGCTGTGACCCCATGGGAAGCCCACGCTGGAGCAGGCTCCTGGCAGGACCTGTGGACCCGTGCAGAGAGAGGAGCCCAGGCTGGAGCAGGTTTGCTGGCAGGACTTGTGACCCCGTGGGGGACCCACGCTGGAGCAGTCTGCTCCTGAAGGGCTGCACCCCATGGAGGGGACCCACACTGGAGCAGTTCATGAAGAACTGCAGCCTGTGGGAAGGACCCACGTTGGAGAAGTTCATAGAGGACTGTCTCCCATGGAAAGGACCCCATGCTGGCACAGGGGAAGAGTGTGAGGAGTCCTCCCCTGAGGAGGAAGGATCGGCAGAGACAAGGTGTGATGAACTGACTGCAACCCCCATTCCCTGTCCCTCTGTGCTGCTCAGGGGCTGGAGGTAGAGAAACTGGGAGTGAAGTTAAGCCCCAGAAGAAGGGAGTAGAAGAAGTAGAGAAAGGTGTTTTAAAATTTAGTTTTCATTTTCTCATTATCCTACTCTGATTTGACTGGTAATAAATTAAATTAATTTTTTTCCCCCAAGTCGAGTCTCTTTTGCCTGTGACGGTAATTGCTGAGTGATCTCTCCCTGTCCTTATCTCAACCCACAAACCTTTTGTTATATTTTCTCTCCCCTGTCCAGTTGAGGAGGGGAGTGACAGAGCAGCTTTAGTGGGCACCAGGCATCCAGCCAGGGTCAACCCACCACATATTATTAAAAGGCTGCATCATCATAGTACATCGATATTACACAGGGACTATATGCTCTTATTTAACCATAACCACCTCCAAGCATTCAACATATACAGAGGCCGACACATAAAGAAATTTTTCAGTCAAAACAACACAGGCAATCTGCAATTCGGACCAGCAAAACCACCTGACATCTTGAACATAGTAAACCCAGCTACTGACTTGACTGGGAAAGAAGAAAACATCAAAGAATAAATCCTGGAACAAATGAAACATGAAAGATGATGCAATTGACTTTCCATATGGAGGAAGAGAGCGAAGTGTCCACCTTGGCAGCACTAAAAGACAATATCACTAGAAGCTGCTGCTGTATGCTGCTGTAACTATTTGCATCACCTTAGAATAAAACCATGCAGCTCCCATTCCCAATCACTTAATGTAAAAGGTCACTGGAAGAGATATTGTTCAGTGATAAATAGGACAGATAAACAGAACAGCAGAAAAAAACAGCTAGAGAAGTCAAGAATTCAAAAATCTCTTCAAGGTCAGCCTTTCTATTTATCCCTCATTGATACCTTGGATGTTCATGTCAAAATGCACGTTGCAGGTACCCAAAGACATTTATCAAGATATAAAATCACGGATCAGTGAAATAATCTGGATAAAAGTCAACTGGTAATCACAAAGTCTGTGTAGTTTGTGATCATTTAAGACTGAAAATGTTCTAACCAAAATCTGCAGAAACTTTGCATCCAGCCACGGCAATGGTACCTCACTCTGATATTCCAGGAGACAAATTTACCTGCTGTTACCCTGTCATACAAATATTCCTCAGTTAACATCAGAGTCCAGAAGTCCACTAAATGATACATTTTTACTGACCTTGTATGTCTGGAAGGTATTTCTGATACTGGTCTATCTCACTACTAAAAATTGCGAAAGCCAGTCTCTTCAGGAGCATAGCACGCTGTTCCAGCTCTACATCTCGATTAGCAAACAGATTGAGTGAACTGCTCTGAGCCACAGCCACTCGTGCTGAAAGAGAAAATGCAGAGGGCAGAGGTGAGCTTCAAAATTTCCCTTCTGTTTCACTTTAAGGCACAAATAACTCTTACTTTCATTGCATTAATGTAGTTCAAAAGCAGATGTTAAGAAGATGCACATTCTGCAATTTGTATTTTAACCACAGTGATTTAATATACATGTTGAAAGAAAACTTGTAAGTATACACAATAGTGCCTGGGTTTGGGGATTTTTGGGAGGGAGTTTAGCCTTTTTTTTTTTTTTTTTTAAAAAAAAAACCCACAATTTGCAACTATAGATGCTCAGAAGTTTGGAATGTGCAGAACCAATTTTTCCTTAAGCAGAGTTAGTGTCAGATCTTAAAAAAACCCCAACTTCAAAACAACAAACAAACCCCAAAACCCAACAAAAACCACCCCCAATTCGCTCCGCTTAATCAACTCTGCCATATAGGCAAAATTCACTGTGTGCCAGGATGGTCTCAAATTCTCTCACTTCAAGTTATCTTATTTATGGATCTCCAGAAACAAGCAGTTGAAGAAAACATGAAAAACATTGAATAAATCGGATTGGAATAAATGTTTTCTTCTTTCAACAAATGCTTTCTTCAAGATATTTTTTTTTTCCTTTTTTTAATGTTTCCCTTGGAGAGAAGTCACTACTACATCGATAAATACTTACTCATCAAATCTCTGAATGTGGTTTTGTCATGCGTCATCAAATTATCCATAATAGCTCTCCAACTAGAAGAGGAAAATTTACAGAAATCAGAAAAGCAAGAAAAAAAGCAAGAATTTACAGGAATATTTACACAGTTTTTTCTGCTCATTTAATTCAGGCTAAAGCTTGAATCCAAGCTCTCTGCTACATAGGTACCATTTACTTGGGGTGATTTGATCTGAAACTATATTTCTCAAAGCCCCTTCTCAAAGAAAATAAGGGATGCCATCCAGAGGGACTTTGACAGGCTACAGAGGTGGGCCTGTGTGAATCTCATGAAGTTCAACAGGGCCAAGTGGCCAAATGCAAGGTCCTGCACATGGGTCAGAGCAATCCCAAACATGGATACAGACTGCGTGGTGACTGGATTGAGAGCAGTCCTGCAGAGAAGGACTTAGGGGTGTTGGTCGATGAGAAGCACATGACCCGGCAATGTGTGCTCGCAGCCCAGAAAGCCAATCGTATCCTGGCCTGTATCAAAAGAAGGCAACAAGTCGAGGGAGGTGGTTCTTCCTGTCTGCTCCACTCTTGTGAGAACCCCACCTGGAGTACTGTGTTCAGCTCTGGGGCCCACAGCATAAGAGATACATGGACCTGCTTGAGCGAGTCCAGAGGAGGGCCACAAAGATGATCAGGGGGCTGGAGCACCTCCCCTGTGAGGCCAGGCTGAGAGAGTTGGGGTTGTTCAGCCTGGAGAAGAGAAGGCTCCAGGGAGACCTTAGAGCAGCCTTCCAGTACTTAAAAGGGGCCTACTGGAAAGATGGCGAGGGACTCTTTATCAGGGAGTGTAGTGATAGGATGAGGGGTAACGGTTTTAAACTGAAAGAGGGTAGATTTAGATTAGATATAAGGAAGAAATTCTTCACTATGAGGGTGGTGAGGCACAACTGGGAACAGGTTGCCCAGAGAAGTTGTGGATGCCCCATTCCTGGAAGTGTTCAAGGCCAGGTTGGACAGGGTTTTGAGCAACCTGGTCTAGTGGAAGATGTCCCTGCTCATGGCAGGGGGGGTGGAACTAGATCATCATTAAGGTCCCTTCCAACCCAAACCATTCTATGATTCTAGAAAATGTTAACCACTTCTTCCTCATAGAAAAAATAAATTTAAAAAAAAAAAAATCTTGACATTGAAAAAAATAGACTTGTCCATAGAAATATACCTAAGGTAAGCGAGTTTCACATTTCATGTGGTAATCTAAAACACAGAACATCCCTCTTTATTTCTCTCAACAGAGATCTGTTGGGAAATTCTGGTCCACGTTATCTATACTCTTGTGTAATGATATACATAAAATTTGTAGCAGCCATTGATGTAAGCAGGAAAAAGAAAGTCTTACTGGTTAACACAGGAAGCATCCATCTGGAAGAAACTAGAATCCATAAAAAGGTCAAATGCTTCCTTTTTCCATGCTCTCCTTGTATACTGATACCCACTAAGACTGCTTAACAACTGGACACAGGCTCGATAGCTGGATGCGTTGTGAGCACTAAAAAAAAAAATGAAAGTCAACATGAAACAATTTTGAATTGTTGCTTTATAGGAAGTTTGACAGACATCTAATCTTTATCATGCCTGGTCCAACTTCCTGTCACCCACCAAATTTCAACTGGCTGTAGAGTTCTACATCAATTCAATAAATCATAAAGATACCTGTGATTACGGAGGTAGGGAACAACATAGTGCATAATATTTACAAGCAAAGGAATAACCCTCTCTTTTTCATCACTGTAGAAAACCATATCCAAGAGATGAGCCAAAACCTATAAAAGGAGAGGAAGATATGTTATCATGCACTCTCAAATTGCTTTTTATCTACTATTCAGCATTTTTTTGCATAACGTCTTTTACTGAACGTTCAAGTTTATGATGGAAGTGATTAAATTTCAGGCAGTATACAAAATCCAGAGCATAAAGATCCCATCATTTTTAAAACAAACCAAGGTAAAAACACAGAAGCATAAGCTCCTGGGCAAAGCGTTCTACGGAGTAAGCTACAAACAAACAAAACAAAAAAAAAATTCAAAGACTGACTGTGATTATCAGCAGTAAATAACACATACCATTAATAACACAGTTTGCCACCAAAAAAGTTTCCTGAACTACATATCTGAAAGGCCGTGCTTTATGCCTCACGCAACTCACTGAATCTTTATAACTGGGTTAGTGACAAAGTTTTGTATATTGTTACATGACAGAACCCAGAATCCATTCACATCAGTGTTTCCAATCAAATCTCTTTCCCCAAGCTTCTAGTCCAAAGCTTTTCACAACATAAAGGTTTATTGTAAGACATTATTTATTATACCTGAGGAGACATTTACCTCAGAAAGTAAGGTCAATGCATGGACACTATAAACAGATGGAGTTATGTTTGAAGTTTCCATTGCCGGAGACAACATATCTAAATGAAGATAATAATAAAAAGATGTCCAAAGTTAGTTTTCTTAAGCCATTATTTACCTTACAAGCATCTTTTAACAGCATGTATTTTGAGACTTTGCCAGATACACTGTGTAAGATACTAATGCCTGAACAATACTGAAGCATTTTTAATGTATTCAAATATAGTAAAGCTGTCCTCTTTATTCATTTTGGCCTGACAATTAAAGTTTTGTTTAAAATAAAGATGAAAAAGAAAATACCTTCAACATCTGATTCTAAGTTGTTTCCATCAACCATAATCTTGGGGGAAGGCTTAACTTCTAAGTTTCGTCTTAGCCAAGTAGTCTGTTCCAAGGAAGAACCAGCAATTGCCCCAATGGCATCCACTATCTTGTGCGTCACATCCTGGTAGAAAAAACACCCAAGCATTTTAAGAACTTTGTGCAGAAGGGCTGTATTTGTTGTCCTGACATGTTTTTGTAGAAAATCTACACAACAAATTAAGTATAGAACTGCTTTCAAATCACTTCTGTTCTATATTATCAGTGATTAATAACTCCACAGAAAATGAGATCTTTTTCAACAGATTATAAATATTACTAAGTAGAAGATACTAAAGAGTCATTTCAGACTACAGAACTGATATATCAGATAATTCTAGTACATTCAAACATTTATTGTTCAATATTTTCGAGACACACATAGATACAACAAAATTCTTACCTGGAGATCTCTTTGATCTTTCTTATTCTCCAGGCTTGGGTTTTTCATAATGAACTCATTAAGAACACTGAAAAAAATACAGAAGTAGATATGGCGTTTCTTCTCACAATACATTATTCAGTAATTTTAAGAGCTAGGACAAACCTGAAGAAATTTATGAGCACAATACTTATTTACTAAACCTTCAGTCATTGCTACTTATCAATATTCTAGAAAACATCCTTTCAAGTTTCCTAAGTTAATTTTGATCATACCATAATAGTTCATCAAGAACATATTTTACTAGACTATATACAAAAGTATCTTTAGAGACAGTTTACTAGGGATGATAAATTCCAGAAATTCATTAAAATGGTCCTTGAAGCTTTATACAGAAAATCATATTCAATATTTTATTTCTAACATTCCACAAACACCTTCATTCTGGGAATGAATCCTTTCTAGTGGGCTGCAAATCTACACATACCTAAGAAATAGTCATTGTAGTTATTTTCTAAGAAACATGAGAAACTTAAACCTACTGTTTAAAGAGCCTGAATCGCTCAAAATAATCAGTAAGGTAAGATAGTGGCTAATATTATAATATAAAATTTAATATACGTAACCATTCCTCAGAGAAGAAACTAATTTGATAAAACCCACAGAACTCAGACAATAGCTCTACCACTCAAAAATAAATGACAGAGATTTGAAAACACTAACACTTCAGTATGATTTCACACACTTACATTTGAGCTTATTTGGAAATTGCTAATATCAAGAGCACTTACCCAAGTATGAGGAATTGTCCCGGAGCTGGAAGACCAACCTGGATGGAATCTTTTAACAGAAGCAGCAGTGCTGCCCAGCTATCTACTAAGCTGGTCACTGGAATCCTAAGAGAGAGAGAGCAGCGATGGCAATGAAAACAGCATCATCTCCCTCAGGTATTCCCCATTTTCCTTCTACCTTACAATTCACCTGTCAGGTATTGTGAATCAACATTCATACAGATTCTTTGGGTTTTCATTTAGTATTAGGTGGCTACATCAAGTCATTAAGAAAAGGAGGAAGGCAGAAAAACAGTGTACTCGAAGGACATGCTTTTCAGTCCATGGTTGGAGTGGTACCAATGAGTTACAGCACAATTAAGATCAGCTTTACTTGGGCAGGGGGCAGATTTCCTGCAGGATTTTTAGGTGGGGCAAGAAAGATGATGCAGAACTAGGTAGCTCACAAACTAAATCCCTTTCTTTTTTATGACACCTACAGTTCAAAACCATTCTTTCTTCATGATTTGTATTACACAGGCTATTTCTCATCCTAGGGATTATAAAAAGATGTAAAATAGTCAAATTGTCCATCTGTTTCTCGATGACAGAAATAAAATTTAACTTCTTGTCTTACCTTTGAGTATAAGCATAGAAAAACTGCAACATGCAGACTTCCAGTGAAAGATGTTTCTAGAAAAAGATACAAAACCTGTGTCATCAGGAAGAACAAAGTGATTCTTTTTTTCCCGTCACTTGCCAGGGCAAAACTGACAATGCTATAATATTAATGCAGTGTCTGAAGATACAGCTTAGTTCATTAACAGGATATTTCAAATGTCCATTTAGCCACTCTCTTTTTTTTTTTTTTTTCTTTTTTCTTCCTCATTCCCTCTTTTCCCCACTTCCCTTTCCCACCTAGGGAAAAAAAAAATAATCAACCTGATGCTAAGGTATGCACCTGTTTGCCTAGTGTAAGCAGCCTATCACCACAAAACACGGTCTTGTACCAAAGCAGTAAACAGGATTCTGGAGTTGTTCAGTAAACGGTAGTGACTTAAGGGAGGTATGACTTCCCTCCAAAAGTTCATCCATCTGTTAGATATTGTGAAAATTTTCACACTGTACTGCTCAGCTTTGTGAATGAAGTATCTATATCATCAGTGTTCTAAGCTTCAGTAAGAGGACATTAAACAAATCAATAACATCTCTACACTTTTCATACCTTGTCCTTTGCTATGGCTGGAGGCTGCTTCAAAACTTCTTTCACTGTTTGTATAACAGTCTCTGTTCTCATAACACTGATAGAGCGAACTAGCTCGACCAGTAGAAGTTGTTCTTCACCTGCTGTAGGAATAACCTAAAAGAATCAAATATAAGTCACAGATTATCATCACAGACAATGCCTATCCAAAATAAAACCAGCTGGTCTCATGGGATTGAAATGTTAGTAACTAACAGTTCGTCTACAGACTTGGAGAATTTGGGAAGATTATCCCATTCTAAAATAAATTGGTAGCTCCGTGACAGTACAGTTGCTAATTAGAAATATAATATAAATATTCTCCATATTTCATACTATGTATTTTTTCACTGGAATGTCTGAATTTTCCCCTTACTGCTTCTAAATCACTTAAAGCTATTACCATTATCTGAAGTGACCACTGTAGTATAAACATACCTTTGTCCTAGAAGTATTTTTATTTTGTCTCCTTTCATTCCATACAAATGCAATAGCAGCCATGAAGTGAACACCATGATTCATTGAAATTGGACCCAAAAGTTCAAGAATCTGCTGCCTCAAATTCTGAAATGTGGAAGCAGAACACAAACACCTTTAGATAAGCACCTCAGCATTATGTTCAAAACAGCTAGCTATTAAGCCATACTTGGATGGTAACTATCACTAACTTTTATAAAAATGGAAGGATGCACTCAGAGGATTCATAAAGCTCTATTCTACATCTGGTACTCTTCAATCATTTTATTAATGACTAAGACAAGGGATGATAACACACACTTGTTAAATTTGCATATGGTAATGAAGTGGGAAGCAACAGCTATAAAGGTACAGAACTAAAACCGAGACACGCTCAAAAAGCATCTTGAAGAAAGATAAGCTGCAATAAAGGCTTGATCTTTCCATGCAAAGGTAGTGAGAAAGAACTTTAGTGATTCAGGATGAGAAACTATTTAGATAGCGGTGCTGCAGAAAAAACATCTTGGGATTGTAGTGGATTACAAACTCACCAGGACAACTTTGCAAGGAAGGGGAAAAGAGCATTCATAAATAGCAACACTTCCTGGAAGACATTAAATATTTCCCCTGAGAGAAGATACCACCTCCAGTTTTGGACACCTTATTTCAAGAAATGAACCACAAACTGACAGAACTCAAACTATAAAAAGAAAGGTTAGTGCTATGGAATATGACCTACAAGAAGTGGCAGAAATGGGTATGTATATAGCCAGGAGAAAAACATGTAAGTGGAGATATGACAGTTATCAAATGTGTATAAGGTAATTAGGAAGAAGAAAGGCAGACATGATGTTCATGTCTGCCATGAATAGTGATAGGCTTGCTTTGTAGCAAGTGAGATAAAGATTTAAAAGTATGGGTGGTGGGGAAATCCTAAAAGAAAGAACATGATACTCTGGGAGACTGAAATATTCACTGCTGAAACTCTTAATAAAGTGTTTTTTAAGCATGTCAGAAGTTATTATGGCACACTTGGGTCAGGAAATGTATTTCCTGAGCGGTCTTCTTGACCTGTTTTCTATGACAGGAAGACTTCAGACAAAAATGGACTTTCTACCTGTATTCTGAAAGCCATTTTTACCTTGGTCAGAGATATTTCAGTAGGAATTGTCTAAGCTTGCAGGAAACTGCTGTATACGATCCCAGAGCTTGACTATACACTTCATGCACTTGCCAAGAGTGTGGTTGCCAAAGCAACCTAGTAGTACTGAATCTCAAAAAGCTTGTTGATACTTTAGACACACAATTCTGTAGAGTTCCACAATTTTGTGTGTTTTTAACCACATCCACCAACTCCAAGGCAGCTACAAAAGCATTACCCGAAAGCAACGAGGTCAAAAAGTAAAATAACCTACGCTGATAGTACACCGAACAAGCTGAATTCAAACTGCACTTTTTCATACACAGGACGTGTTGAATGCTCTTTTGAATACTACAGATTCGGACAAACTAAAGAAGAGCTGGGATGTACAGAAGAGTTAATGTTTAGCCAGAGTACAAAAGCTTCTTTGTTCACAGAAGCAGCATAATATTATAGGCCATCAACAAGTATGGACCCCCTTCCTTTCAGTGAGTAGAAAGCCCTATGGGCAGCACAAATAAGACCATGGATGCTGTCTGTGCAAAGCCATGGAGTCTTAGATAAGTTATTTTTTATTCCTTCAATCTGAATGACAAAGGTTGAAAAGGATGTAACAGCATCATCACAAAGAGTATCTGACAATATTGAAATTAACTGAGGAAATCTTATTTTAAAACATTTCAAATTTAAATAACAATTTTCTATTTAGTAATGTGAAGTATAAGAAGTTTGAACTGCTTCTAATAAGAGGGCTAGGCAGTGTTGTCAGTATAGTCCTGTTTGACCCCTTCTCAGGTCCTCCTCTTTATGATTACTAGCTCACTATCTGCTATGACATTTCCCCGTACACAGTGACATCACTGTATGGGAATTGGATGAATAAAGGAACTAGTTCGTAAGTGCCTGAGTACTAGATGTTTTTAAGAGGAAAGTTCTCTTTTGCTAAGATTTTACATTAATATTTTATCTCTTTTGAGGCATAAAAGGGTGGCTTAAATTTTTTCAGGACAGATTTCATTTTCTTTGTAGAAAGTACAGAGGTGAGACATTGCTATCTTGAGTTGATACACTCAAGTTTAAAAGCAGATTGAATACCCATTTATAAAAGCCTTGTTTGTGGGGTGGGTGAGTAGATGAGGGCAAAGATATTAAAACTCAATTTACATTCAAGGGAATGGAATTGGACTTAGTTTGACAAAGGTATTAATGAACAACTTAAATGATGTTATCCCTGATATTCTGACCTTTGCTGACCCAAGATTAATCGTGGTAATGGATGCAGCAGCAGCAGTAGTTTTCTCTGAAGAATCTGCAAGGTGAAGGATGCTCCACAGCAAAGTCACAGAAGACATGATCATATGCAAGATAGACAGGATCCCATTTCGTGCTTCAATCAAGTGCTTCTGATCTACATTTACCAAAAGCTAGTGGATTTGAAGGGAAGAGAGGAAGAAGAGCATTAAATATCTACATAAATAGCATAAGTAAAATATTGTACATTGAGACTTAATGGACATGGAAGCTTTCAACCTTAACTCTTTTTCAAAAAAGTTTTTCAATAATTCTTATAGTATATACAGGTTTTGAGTCTGTTAAAATAATAGTCAAAGAATCTTTTGACTCAGTTGTACAATATCAAATGTATTCTGAACATGTCAGGCCTCATGTCTACAGCAATCAGTTTTGTATCATCTGCCTATACCTTTGCAAAACAATTCTTTCAGAATTTTAAGTGTAACTAATACTCTAGGCAAAATTACTTGCACAGACAATGAACACTTTTCAGTTACTTTTTAAAGGCATGGAAGGCAAAGGGGTATATGAAAAAAAAAAAAAAGCAAAAAAACATTGCAGAGAGAGCAGGAAAAAACTTTTCTTGCAGAATTTGGGCCAAAGTCTTAACAGAGACCGTACTGAGAATATCAGATCTAAAAATATTGCTTGACTAAAAAGACAAGTTGTGACTATACAGAAGGAGCAGAAATGCAATGTCTTGACATATTGCAAGATGAACACATTCCAGCCAGAAAGTAACAGGATAGGCATCAGTCTGGGAAGCTCGACAAAACAAAGTCAGCTCTAAAAAGTGGCATTTTAGAGGTCTGAAAGTTAAGCAATTCCTACTTTAGTTATTTCAGGGTAACAAAAAAAAAAACAACCACCCCCCAAACCCCCATAAACAAAACAAAAAAAACCCCAAAAGTCTAAGACTATTCTCTTAGAAGTATAGTTAGTAGAAAATTGTTTTTCTCTTTTGAGATGTGTATATTATCAACAAAAACCATACTCATGGCTAAGACAATATATTTGATATTTTTCCCCCACTCAGACCTTCATATCTGCTAATATAATCATAGTCCTTAATTTGACATGTACTGCATAGGAACCTCTCAGACACCCAGCTAAGTTTACCTGATGATACTGCGTAGATGGATCCAGGAGGCAGTAATGAATTATTGTTGTGATCCCTTCTAATAAAGTAAGAACCATATCTGGGGGAGTGACTGATGCCATCCAGAGAGGCCTAAAATAAGAGATTCATTTTTTTTAGAACGGATTCATCTGGTTGTGAAGTAATTCAACACAATCAAATCTGCTTAAAAAGATTATACACCTCTGCATACACATACCTATTATCAGATAATCCTGTTTCATATTTATACTGCTGAATTAAATTATCCAAGTTCCTGCAGAGCTGAAGAGTCACTGAAACAACCACCCTTTGAAGAACTTTCCCCATGTAAGGCAACGTAGAAGTGATAAGGCCAATCCACTGGGGATGCATTTTACAGGCACAGTGCTGGTGTAAAGCTCGTATCACTGCGCAGAGAAACATGCCTTGGCAGGTTATTGGCTGGGAATGTAAATACTGAAGAGAAGTCATTGGCTGCTGGGGACCAATATGCTCCAAGTCAGTTATGACAAAGTCAAAGCCTGTTTCATTTTCCTCAGGCACAGTCATTACTTTGTGTTCCAGCACAATCAGCCGTTGAAGTACTTTTAAAAGCTGTGACTGCAGAGTACTACCATTGTCAAATTCATCTTCAGAAAAATTTATTAGACTGTCTTCAGAGAAACCTTCTTCTACAGCTACTATGTTTTTTCCAGCCATCTTTTCACTGTGCCATTTCTGTGCACTGAAGATAGAAGATAGCAGACAATGCAGGATCACTTTCTGAACCTTGCACTTGGACAACATGTCCGAAATAAAACTAGGAAAGCCCTTTGCAGAGCTTTCTATCACTTTTGCTAACTCTGCAAAGAGAAGTGTCAGAATTTCTATACTCATCATTTGCATATTACGGTTTCCTATTAGATCTTGTGAGGTTACTTTAACATGAGTTGGATAGTGGCTCCGCATATAGTATAAACACAAGGAGATAAGAATTTCTATGTACATAGAGCTCCGAAAGTTATGGTTAGAATCAACTGGGATGTGACTATAGAAATCCTTGCCCATCACAGATATTCGATGCCTGGCTAGAAGATTCTGGAGCAATGAAAGCTGAGGAGTGTATGCATTGTTGACACTGGTAGTGGAGATAGCACTTACAAAAGCTGAAGGATTTGTTTTCAGAATTGCTTTAATTGCAGAAAAAGCATACAATGTCCTTGAAGAGTCATACAGCTGGAGATAAAGCAGCACGTGTTGATACAATGGATGGATGTTAAAGTGTGGAGATTTTCGCATTCCTGGGGACCCCACATCACTTTCTATTTCTGAAATTTCTCCTTCTCCGCAACTGTACCAATTTTCTAAATCAAGACCATCACTAAAGAAGACGTTTGTTTGTTTAAGCTTTTCTGTTTGTGCTTTCTTCTTCTCTTCATCTTTCTTTTTGGCTATTTTCACCTTAGGTTTTGCACCTGGTTGCTTACCAGCCTCTTTAACAATTGTTTCTTTTTCTGACATTTTTTCTGGTAGCTTTCCTTTGAAGCTGAACTGAATACTACTGTGGCTTCGCTTTCTGGACTTTGATTCAGTGGAAGCAAGAGCGAGATCAGAGAGGGATTGTTGGCTTTCTGCAATACAGGGTGAAGAGTTATTTCTTGAAATTTCATCTCTCAAGCTCTCTAGTCCAGTCTCAGTTGAGGCCGATAGCAACTGGGAGCTGTCATTACTAAGCAAACTACTCTGGCTGCTTTGAATATTTTGATCTTCATTTTTTGTCACCTCTACAGAGTTATCCAAAGGACTGAGTTTACATGAAGTATCCTCAGAGTGTAGACAATGTTTAAGTGGTTCAGCCTCTTCTCCGAGACCACTTACAACTTTGCATATAAGATCTGTAACCACTTGTTGCACAATTTCATCAGGTGAGTCTTCTCTCAGAGTCTGAGAGCTATCTTGAGCACTCAGGCTTTCTGTTTCCACTTCATAACTGATGTTGTCTCCAGTAGATGACTGAGAACAGCCAGAGTCAGAACTCTGCAGTATTTCAACTTGATGGTCGGGAAGGTCAAAATCAGACACAACCATTGGTATGGTCTCACTGCTGGTACTTAACAAGGAAAGCCTGTCACTCAGAGGGTTGACAGTCAGGCTGAAGTTCTCCATTTCATCCATAGCAAGTTGTTTTTCATTGCCCTCTTTAGGTATAATAAGTTGTTCTTGGTTTACAGGCACATGGGAAAATGCTTAAAGAAAAACACAAAAAAATTTATACCTGTAATATTTTGTTCTTCAGAATAAGAATTTAGAATTATAATTTAGAATTTAAACTATTATTGAGACTTATAAAGGCATGGTAAATAGTGTCTTTACACTTCACAGAAGGAAAAAAGTAATGTTAATATGCAAGCGACACGCATTCACATAACCAAAGCAAGATTACTTTAGCAGTAGACCTTAGCAAAACAACATAATTCTCCCATGAAACCTTATGTAGTCTTATTTGTTTGTGTTTTCACAAAAAAGAATTATTAGTATGTTACTAAAATTACACAATAGATGCAAACACCTTCAAACCTTATCAGTATGTTTTCAGCCAGCCCCACATCAGTGGTCCTACTTAATAAAAGCATTTAATTTCTTGGTTAAGCTTCAAGCCATATTCTTAAGTTCTACCATAGTTTAGTAAGACATAAGAAAATGCTCTGCATTAAAATACTTGCATATCATCTTAATTTGAGAACAATAAAACTTCAACAATACTTGGGACACCCAAATTTGAATTAGAAAAAAACATGCACAAATGCACATATAAGTGAGTTACCCTCAAAAATTTCTAGTATGTTTTTAATGTTGCATGCAAATAACAAATAAAGAAATTAAATAAGGAACTTCCTACAGTCTTCTTGTGTACATACCATCAGCACAGCTAAACTTCTGCATAAAGTGCTTTTCATTTTCTTCTTCAGGGTGATAGGAAGATTTAGTCCAGTAACATTCAGCCTGTACTCGCTGAACAGAAACTCGCTGAGTTTTTGGATGGAGAAGGAGTAGGAGCAAAGGTTCAAGAACCCTTGCAATATCATGTCTTTGAAGCACTTGATTTAACCAGGCTTGTCCCACTGACCATGTAGAACCATCCAAGCTATTAAGGCTGTCCAGCATGATAAACAAAGATCTAGAATAGAAAGATGAATGAACCTAGCACAAGTTCTACACTACTCACAGAATAATCCCATTTTAATCTGATATATGATAAATTTCAACATGCCAGTACATGCTCCAGTGTCTTCTCCATATAAAACAGTGTTTTCTCTGGAATCCAAACTTTGCAACCTGAAGTTTTATATTTTAGTCTAGCCTAATGAAGAAATGGCCAGGAAGAGCTAGTAATAAAGTCAGTTAAGATAGCTGCTGTAATAGTAGCAGCTGTATAGTCAGTTCAAGTATGTGTACAGCTACTAGCAAAACACACTTAGTTGCCTACTAAGTGCCAGTGCAGTACAAACAGATAAAACTTTAAAAGCCAATTCACCCAGATGCATGGAAAAGAGAAGATAACTTATTCAAAGATCTTTTCTTCAAGAACAGAGAGGGGAAATATACGTAACAATTCAGCACTTCCTACTATCATTATTTTCTTCTTTTAATACTTTTGGTCTTTAGAATCCTTTCCAGACTTGGGGAAAAACAATATATATACAGGACTCTGAATTTTACCAACTGTTTTACATCCTCCAGTAGTACACGTTCATAAGCTCTTAGCTGTATGTACAGAGTTTATCACCACTTCTGCAATGAGTGACAGTATCAAGCCAAAGAAATAACAACCTTTTTACTCCGCTTCCGACAGCTAAGTATACATTAGAAAATTTAAATAAGGACTTTTCCACAACATTTGTGCTAGCTGGGGAAGACAAGACTAGTTCAGAGTCTGGATCATTCAGTTTTTTCTAAGAAGACAGTCTGATACCAGAACGCAAACCAGAAATCCTCTGCTACTTGCCATAAATGACATCTTAAATGAAACACACAGATTAAACAAAAGAACTTTCACATCTTAGTGCTTACTTGCAATTTTGTTCTTAAGTTTTCTTAGCTTTACTGTTACTTTCCATTTTCATATAATTCACTTCTGGGTTGATTTCTCTCTCCTGCTTTTGTTTTTACCAAGTCACAGCAAGAACTCAGGTATTATGTTCAATATACACAAGTATTTTAACCACAGTGATAGTCAATGAATCATGTGACCATTCCTGTCCTACTCTTTATAGCTACCAGGGCAAATTCACAGCTTACATAATCATCATTGTGAAAACAATTTTGCCTAACACGAATTCATTTCTTGTCCTCCTTCCTTGCTCTCACAGTTACACTGCAGTTCTCCAGTTTCTAAACACTCTATGCTGCCAGTATAATGTAGTTAAAGATTTTGAAGCAAAATTATTTCAACTGAATCATGCTTGCAATCACCAACCTGTCAAAGGTACGGCCGAAGGAAGAAGACTTGTTAATATGAAGGTCACGGGTGAGATGCCATAGCACTGCAAACTTTGCATGAGCTTCCATTCTTACTTTCTGTGGACCAAATTATAAGTTAGATCTATCAGAATACAACAGCCTCTAATAAGAACTGGAAAAAAAAGAGAGGTATACAGCCACTTAAAAGATATAATGAAATTATTAAAATTAACTTCTTTTGACTATGCGTTCAAGTCCTGTTTTCTAACATTAAAAACAGTAGTAGGCAACAACAGGTCTCTATGAACAATTTAGTAGCATGAAAGGATTTTCCACCATCTTGATCTTGGCTGCCTCAGTTTCAAAGTTTAGCCTGAAAAAGTTTTAAATACTTAACGTGATAGCTTGAACAATACTTCTTTTACTCTCACAAGTTGCACAGCTCTGTTTTCAGTGAGTTTATCTATATGTATCAAGGCACTAGAAAGAGAGTGCAGGAAGAAACATGCAAGCTTTTCAACATGAGAACTCACACATACAGAGGCAGAGAAAAAAGAGAAATTTTTAGAGACAGTGTCTGGAATTATGGGATTAAACACAGTATCCATGGAAATAAGGGAATGAAAATAAGTTGCCTAGAAAGAGACATAAGAATTTTCTAGCTAGATATGATGTAGATAGAGTTCATCACCAACATGCCAAATTTAGCTCTGGAACTTAAGAGTTTTATTTGGACAAATAGGACATGCTTACTGCCCAAAGGACTTCTAGTGACTAGTAATAACATGAAGAATATTTAATGGTGAAAATGGTATTAAAATAACAATTTTTATGGCTTTACCTCTTTACTGTGGCTGATCAAGGCAAAGAGTTACTCCAGCAAGGCTGGAAACAATAGTAAATACCATGCTACGATATGAATACATGGGTACATGTATTAAAACCAGCTTTATCCAAGAGACAAGGAAGCGACTAAGCAGTTGTAGGGGTGAACAAAGCACAGCAATCAGGACGGTTATACTGAATAAAACATCAAAATTACTTTCAAATACAATTAGGGCTTAAACTAAATTACTAGATGATAAGCAGAGACAAGAGGACGAAGATCTTCACTTGTTTGTTCTTTAAATATATACTTATAGGGAATGAACAGTAGATGTACTTACCTCTAATCAAAATGAGACCAAACTAAAACCTGTTAATATCACTGTGACATTCTGACTTAATTTATAACATATAGCTTAAGAAGCTCTGCAATAGCTAATACAACCAATATCTGCCACAATGATGAAGATTTTAAGTAAAAGCTATAAAAACCGAAAATTACAGAAAGGACACAAGACAGATCACATCGGATGCAAACTAAAAAAAAAAAAAAAAACCCACAAGAAAAACAGCAGCATTCTGGAAAGTAAAGCAAGTATCACATGTATTTAGAAAAAACATGCTTCTCACAGGGAAAAAAAACCCACAACACTGCTGCAAAATACATATAGTTACATAAAACAATTCACTAACATCTGCTGAATAAAGGGTGGAAATACCAGTTCTCAAACACGTACTGATGACTCCATGTAAGCTCTTGCAATCCGTACTGGGAAGATATGAGAAATTACTGTTTTCACAGTAACATTGGCAGAAATAGCGAGTGCCACATCCACAGTCACAGCAGTTCACAGACCAGCCTAATAAGTGAAACTATAAATCATAAGCAGTTTTATCAATATGCCAAGCTGTGAACTACAGTGATTGACAGACTGACTCACAGTCACTTTTGTTGACCTGGTTACTCTCTGGTAGAAAGGCAAAAAGGTAACTGCTTCTCAAGTCACACAACCATGAGTTGCCAGAGCATGTAAGCAAGTAATTTCCTATCATTCATTCTGTTGGAGCTGTGAAAACAGTTCATATATCTAAAATTTAAAGCACTACAAAGACCTCAACTCAAATGTCAAATTGACAGCCTCTATCTGAAACAAATTTCTAGGGAAGGATAAGAGTACCTGTCATGACAAGCAGAACTCCTACTAACGACAGTAAAAGCTAAGCATGTGCTTTATATATCGGGAAGCAGAGCATAAATTTTGATAAGAGGTAAAGTCCCCTACATAAGTCTGTTGCTGAATGCTCAAAAGCCCCCTTTGTCTAGCATGAAACTACAGAGGGTCATCACAGAGCTGAAAGAAACACCGTTTGTCAACAATATGAATAGCTGCCAGCTTCAAAAGATTTTGAAAATACTACTTTACTTGCATTAGCTAAACTGATAGCAAAACAGAACTAATCAGCAGGATAGCCAAGATCACTTCTAAAGAACAGCCAGCAGTGAGATAAGAGACCTTTGAGCAGCAATAAAGAATGGGAGAAATCCAACAAGTTGGGTCATGAGCAAACATTATAACCTGTGGTAGCAGAACAGAAGACAGGACAAGTGACAAAGTAATAACAAGAAACCGAACAATGTTATCAGAGGCAAAGAAGCAGCTCCCTGATCACTCGAGAGGTTCTGTTCAAATTATAGTCCATGGCTTTTGACATGAGACAGAGATGGAAAGTCAAGACCTTCAAGAAAAGAGTAGCCTTAGTGGCATACTGGAAAGAAATGCACAGACAACTCACAACCCAGCTGCCTTGTCAGTCAGAGCAGAGTAGGCAAGCACATTTCCTACGAAGACAGATGCACAGAAAATGGGCAATTACTGTTAGAGCAGTTTATCAGTTGCCCTCTAGAACTGGCAAACATGGTAGAAACAGTCAGAATTCAAATCTGTTAAGGACAAATAACTAGAGAAGAGAGGGGCCACATGAGATTGGAGAAGAACTGTACAGAAGCCTCTTCATAGAAATTAACTAGTTACTGCAATTCCTCCTCTTCCCAACAGGGGAAAAGAACCTCACAGAAACACTTTAGCTGGAAATAATTAACCAAAACAAGTGTCAGAAGGTGGAGCTCAGAAATATATAGCACAGCTCTTGGGACCTGGAAATAAAATAAAATCTTATTAATTACAAGCTGCTCTTTTGTCTTATTTACAATAACTCTTACAAAAAGAGTCAGAATCAGATAATATATAAAAATGGTCAGAAAGACAAAAAAAAAACCCAACAATTCACTGCTGCTTAAAAAGAGAAAGGGAATTAAGGCTGAAGCAGCAAATTAATAATATCAAATGCAGCAGACTCGTAAGGATGTATCTCACAGAAAGGGAAAGAAATTGAAAACAGATCTCAAATCGTAAAAAGAAAGTGGTGACACAAAGAGAAAGGCAGTAAGGACACCTCAGCTGAGCGAGAGAGAAAAGAGAAAGCATAAGGATAGAAAGATAAAGGGGACCACACATGACTGTCTTAAGAAAGAAGCTTTTCTTGATAGTGGGGTTGGACTGCAACAGAGACATGGTGATGACAATAACCTGGCTGTTGCTCCTTCTCCAAGTTCTGTGGAAGAAAGGAAGCAAAAAGTCTAGATGCTATATTAGGACAAATAATTAGACAAGAATTAGCTGAAAGAGGACACACAGCACACCAGAGGACTGAACTACAGTTGGTTAGGACACAGCAAAAGAAAATGTGCTTAAATTTGATGGAGCTGTACGGGGAAAGAAGAGTGGTTAGGACAACTGGAATGGAATCTAGAAAATCTACATTCAGTCACTACCATTGCAAACACTTTTCATAGGTTTGTGAAACATTAAGACGTCATGAAAACAGGGCTCAACTGCTACAGATGTAAGGTTAAGGTTTCTTGTGAGTGGGAATACAGGAAAGAGGGTGGGAGTGTCAGAGGGTGGACAAATCTGATGGTCTGTGTGCAAGTAAGAGATAAGAGTATTTTTAATGTTTGAAATAATCAACGTAAGGCAACAGTTTTTCAATACTGAAGTTATTTATGCCCTCCTCTGAGGCACCAAGTCCTTTTTCTAAATATATTTCTACAGTTACATACTTAACTCATCTTTTAGTAAATATATGAAAAACTTGCCTTGTCTCTGTGAGTCAGCTGCTGACTAATAACATCTTCACAAATGCTAGAAGATGGAACGAGGTTGTGCAGCTGGTAGAAGAGCTCCACACTCTTCTGATGATGCTGAGGAGTTCCATCGCCCAACTGGTCCCAAAGCGTTAAAGCTATATGCTTTGTACATGAAAATAAAAGTTGCAAGAGACACAAGTGATGAGTATCATGCCTTGTTTTGCTCTAGACTACGCTGAGCTCTATACAATGATAGAAGACATTACATCTGATGACACCATATCACCAACAGGCAATCTATAAAACTGTTCTTTTTTGTTCGTATGAACATAAGGAACTGTTTGAAACACTGCAATAACTTACTACATAAAAAATTCCTGTTAGGAGTCAGAACTCACAGACATCTCCAGAAATAAATTTTCATTGAAATATAATTAACTACGTCATACACCCTGCTGCTGATTATCTTCTGTAAATGATTTCTTACATAAATTACACAAATGCAGAGATTGTGGTTTACCAGAGTCCTACATTATGCACATCTCAGTTTCATACCTTTACTAATTAATGATGCTATTCAATCAGGTTTTATTTATATTTTAAAAATATTCATTCAAACAAGGATTTTTCACCCAAGCAGTCAGTAAAACAATCACAGTGGGAAAACTTACTATGTATTTTCATTTAGAGTCTAACACAGATTACAACTGTTATCAAAATACTCAGGAAGAAAATTTTGTTTACCATACAAAGAATGGTAAATTGGCCAAGACTGTCAGTCTTCACGAGCCAGGAAAAGAGTCTAAAGAAAAAAAGCAATGAGATACTGCATTGTACCTTGAAGAAATCTGTCTTTTCAGCCATGTATCTCAGATTGCCTTGAGTAAGAGGAGGTCTGATGACCACAGCCACTCTTCCCTGGTTAGGGCTAAGAGGCTGAGCAGTTTCCACACTGTTCTGATTTTCTCCAGTGACGAGAGCAACAGATTGAGTCAATCCAACCAAGTCCATCACAAGGGAAATAGTAACACCCTGAATACTGAAATCACTTGCTTGCTTGCAAGCATTCATTAAAGTCTGTAGCCACAGTGGAGGCTGTACTTGTTCACAGTCTGCAATAAAAATGACAGATGATACATTCATTTAACAATTTTAAATATCATAATTTTTTCCTCTTCTATCCCATAACCAAATGCACAGTTGTCCTTTATCTTTCATATTTCAACCTGCCCGTTGTATGGGTTTAGGAAAATGTATGCAGGAGAAAGATACTTCTTGATGTAACTCTATCTTTAAAATAATCTAACTAAGAATGCACAACTGTATCACTTCAAACATTTAATAACAAAAAATAAGTAGGAGAATTTGAAAAAGGAAGACACAAATTTTATGGAAATGCATCCACACGATTTCATGTTTTAGACAAAACTGGACTTTCAGTAGTTTGCACATCCTTTCATTCACTTTCCTCCTTCAGGAAATTCTTGACAAGCAATCAAGTCTTAACATTGTAGTTCATAATCTGGAATAATTCTGTAGTATTTTATATATATA